ATGTGGACCTTCCAGGTTTAAGTATGCTTAAATTTCATGGAGAACTCCATTATGGTTTTATAATACATGTGCATACCTCATATACATGATGGTTTTCAAATTGTAGTATGAAGCTTCCAAATGATTCAATTAAGACTCTTATTTATTATTGTGGAAGGGGTCAATCCTACACATGGCAAGGATTGAATTAAATTATGGCAGATGGTGTTTTCGTTGCCCACTAAGAGCAGACCATAAAGAATCATATAACCATCACCAACAAGAAAGAATAAGCAAACTATCATCTCACCTAATGGCATCAATGGCTATGAAGCCACAAAGAACCTAGTTGAATTGGTTTGTTGTGTGTGTGTAATGTACTTTATTTCATATTTTGGATACTACTTGGAGTTATCCTCTTCATCTTCAAGTTACCCAAATAGATAATTACTTGACACATGCAATCAACTAAAATAGCAACAACAGTAATGGTCTACCATGGATTAGGTTTTTCTTTTTTGGGTCATTAGTCGTATACTTGTTAGTTTTTACTTCCAAACCACTTATGAAATATGCTGGTTAAGTAATCAGAACTATATGATAACTTGAGCCAAGGTGCAAAATGGTTTATATGTAATTAGCAAAATTATTTCTTATTTTGTGTAAATTATTTGATTGTTATGCTTTTCTTTTCATTTTTCTTCATGTTTAGAATCCTTACAAATTTTTAAATTTTAGTGTTTCTAATTTTATATTCCTTAAATTATTAAACTGATTATTTATTTGAAATTTTATATATTTTAATTTAAATTATTAAAACATATTCAAATTTTTATTGATTTTTTAATCCCTTTTTGACAATATATTACTATATTTTGCTTTTAGAAGCATTTTTTTTTAAATTTTCAATAAATTTGTGTGTGTGTATATATATTTAAATCTAGATTTTCCTAAAAAGTCTAGGGTTTTTAATCATTATTTCAATGTATAATAGCTTTTTAATAATATTTGTAATCAAATACATGTATTTTGTTGAATATATTGAAAGGATTTCAATATTTTTCGGATGTCCTAAATCTATGGTTGTTGGATTAGAATAATGTTTATGCATCGTGTGCACATGCATTGCTTGGAACAATGTCAACAAGAAAAACGATAAAGAGAAATGCCATGCATTTCAAATGCATTTTTAAGTAGGAGTCAATGCCACATTAGAAATCCATTTTCTAGGAAAACATCTGTTGTTTGGTACTTTGGTTAGTCATTTTTCCAAAAATCGCCTTCTCATACCATGCCTTGGAAATTGAGAAATGTGTGGTTTGAGAAAACTACCCCTACTGTTTAGCTAATTGACTAACTCTACCCTTATTGTTTAAACTATCCGGGACAACTGACATTATTCAAATTTTTAAAATAAAACTCATTTGATGAAAATTTTCAAATCGATGAAACCGCTCATACTCCCCACTTTTGATCGGGATTGACACAATGTTGGGTCGCACAGGTTCGTCACCCGTGGGGAGGGAAGAACACGAAGATGGATCAACAAAAGACTTAAAGGATGTGGAGTCCTTGTTCGACCGAACAAGTTCGTCACCGATCAAGTCATCCATTCGTCACTGACGGGGAGGGAAGAACACGAAGATGGTTCAGCATCCCAACTTCAACACTTCAACATCCTTCTCCTTTTTTATATTCTTTTTTTGTCTTTTGAATCCTACTCATACTGACATTGTCTAAATTATTCCAGTCATCCGTTCAAAATACAGTTAGAAAGAGAGAATGAATCAATGAATTCACAGGATATTTCTGCAAAAGAAATGGTGAAGCTTATTTATAGGAGATGCGAGTTCGATTTCTCGGATATGGAAACGTCTAAAGCTTCCCCTGTTTACTCATTGTTCTCAGGCCGAAATTGTATCAAGTAAGCCCGTCCAGTAACATTTGAGGAAGAGGAGCTATATGGAACGGCAGTGAAGATCCCCTTTGATCTCCACCGGCCAATCTAACTCCACTGTTTGTTATTCATCATGTTCTGCAACCCCTCATCCTGTTTTGCAACCCCGACAACTCCATAGGGAAAGTCTAATCGATGAACCCTCCATCTGTTAATTCCTGCATCTTCAGCCTCCACCCTCCCATGGTGGGTTAAACCATGTTTCAACATCGCTGAGATGTTACAGATGTTACAGCATGAACTCGCAAAACCCTCTCATACGGAAGTAGTTGCATTTGCTGCAGATGGAGACGAAGCAGCGATGCAGCTGCATCTGCCTCGCAGAGAGGGAGCAACTGCATCTGTCTCCATCTCTGTCTCCTGGTTGGAATTTTGGGACTTGCCTCCCGAAATCTTCCTCTTCCCGGAACCCTCTCATTCATCTCCACTCTACATCCATTGCTTTCCTCCACTATTCTGTCTACACTCTTAGACCCGATGTCTCCGATCGATCACTCCCATACTGGTTCCTTCTACGACACGGATCGAGGGTTAAGGGCCTCTAGTGAGACAAGAGAACCCCCCCTAACACATTTCAGATGGCAAAGCACTTGCCCCTGAGAGGCGATGGTATTTGGCTTGGTGACCGGAGGAAGGTGTGCATCGATGAACCCCTTCCGCTGGAGGGAGTTACATAGAAGGCAATCATCCAATAGAGGTAAAACGTTAGTTTTGGAATTTCAAAAAAATATCGGTCATGAGTGTGATGGAAAATTAACGATATTATGAGACATAAACAGTAAAAATAGAGTTAGGCCCTGTTTGATGATTAAGTATTTGTTTATTTTAAGAAGTATTTCCAAGAAGTACTTATTTTAATAATCACTTAAGGCTGTTTGGTAATCCATTTTTCAAATCACTTATTATGTTTTTAAACACTTATTGAGGTAGGAATGTTTGGTAAGCTACTTTTCCCATAAGTGCTTATATTGACACAAATGACAATTTTAACCCTCACTTCACTCGTATATATATTTACAATGATTTTCACATGTTATAATATACATTTCAACTGTTGCCCACGTGGACTGCCATGTGGATCCAAATAATAATAATAATAATAATAATAATAATAATAATAATAATAATAATAATAATAATAATAATAACTAATCATATTAGGGGAAGACGACAAAGAACAATTCTCCAAGTTGACGCAAGACGCCGACGAGTCCAGCCATGGCAATGCCTTCAAGTAGCACTTTGGAATCATCTTTATTGGCAACTCTATACAGTTCCGGATCGACGATGTTGTTCTTATTTCTTATCTGGTACCTTGTAATGGGCATTTCGTCCAAGTATCACAAACTAACAATGTGATAAATCCTTATTGAAACTAGTGGAAATGGCGATGTTGTACTCGGCAGCTCTCCCAGTGGTGGTTAATTTCCCTGCTATATTTCTGCCATTAACCACCGTTGGGAGCAGTTACAGGGGAGAGATCGGGAGAGAGAGAAATAGGGGAGAGATCGGGAGAGGAACTTACGAAGAGGGGCCAAGATTTGGCGACTAGAAGAAAAGAAAGAAGAAAGGTTTCCAATGGCAGAGTTGGTTGGCAGGGGGGTGAGGTAGATGAAGGGACAGAGCAAGGAAGGGAGGGGCGAAAGGAAGATGATGAAGTTGAAGCCGCGAAGCGTCAGATTGGGGGGTGGGGACAAGTTAGGGAAGAAGATGATGAACAATGCTTTTTTTGGTGTAGGGGTATTTTAGGCATTATAGAAATTTATCAGGGACTGGTTCGTCCTATTTTTTTGAAGTCACTTTTTCAAAAAAAGCACTTCTTCTCCACTCTTTCACTAAACACCCATAAATACTTAAAAACCACTTAATGTGTAGTCCCATGTCTTAAAAGAAGTACTTCTTTTAAGTGTTCTCAAACAAGGCCTTAGTCAATTAGCTAAACAGTAGGGATAATTTAAAAAATTTGCCCAACATTTTTGGCTGATGTGGCATGTAACCGAACCAAACAGCTTTTCGTGTGAAACGACTCCAAAAAGTTTTTTTAACCATTAGACGTTTTTTTAGAAATCGAAGCACCTATAAAATGCATCGATGCCAAACAACAACTAGTTTACAAGCATTTCCATAATTGCTGAAAGTAGGTGTACGTTTCGATTTGTTGTCATCCCAAGTTTGTATCTTGTTTTAGATGCACATTCTCATACGTAGAGATGTAAATCAGGCCATGCCGCCCGCAGCCCAACACGACAGTTCGCGGGCCATGCCAAGCCCGACACGATCATGCGGGCCGTGTTGAGCCTAGGGTTTTAGGTCCACGCACGACACGGCTCATATATATTTTATATATATTCATATATTTATATATATATATAATATTATATAAATTATAATTATATAATAATATATAGTATATAATATATTAAAAAAATAAATATTTTTTAATTTTATTATACTAATTTATTTAATTATTTTATATCTAAGCAATTGTATATATAAAATTAAAATTTTAAAATTTTTATCATTTTTTGAAATAAATAACTTTGGCACGATGCACGGCCTGACCTGGCCCAAGCCTCGGCCTACGGGCCAGCCCAACCTGCGGCACGGCATGGGCCCGTACGGTCCTAAGCCATGGGCCATGCTGAACTGACCCCCAAATTTTTCACCAGGGAAGGCAGCACGACCCGTAAGGACCCACGGGCCACCACGGCATGACCCACACTTTGCGTGATTGGAATCCAAAAACCTCTGATGTTGCAATTAATGCCAAACCCCTTTACTCACTTGACGTGTTACTCGCACGTGTCGGCTTCAGTCAGAGTTGGGCCCGTTCGAACAGCTTTTACAACCTTTCATCGCGAATATCCACGTACTTCTGTACTTTATTTGAGGAGATATTCCCAATGCAACGCTACGATGGCTGTTCGAATGGAGAATAAGACTCGAGGCAACCAGTCTCTCAAACTCAACGAAAGAACGCCGTCCCGAATCCCAACGGCTACTTTATAAAACGGCTAGTTTTTTAACCTTTTTTCCCTTCTCTTTTTTGTCTACGTTAATTTTCTCTCTCCCTGTCCTCTTCGTTACAGAACTCATTACTCTTCATGCTTTTTCACTTACTCTGTTATCATCGTCCCTTCAAGAAAAGTTTGTTTCAGTCTAATCTTCCGGCGTGAAAGGTGGTTTTCTCACCACATACGTTAGTTTTCCGGTAGCTCAAGAAAAAGGGTTTAAAGGATTTCAGCAGAGGAGGCCCTTGACTGACAGTCCCAGCTCGAACAATGTGGAACAGCGGTAAGAATTATCCGGTGAAAGAATTACCAGCACCGCCGCGGACGTGGAAATCGGCTCCATGTTCGCCGATGCCACCGCCGGAGAAGAAGCGGTCTTCTCCCCCCAGAAAACAGGATGTTTTTCATGTTATTCACAAGGTGCCTCCAGGAGATTCTCCTTATGTGCGGGCGAAACAAGTTCAGGTAAGAAGGTTACCTTCCTCTGTTTTAATGGCCGGGTATGCGTTTCTTTTGAGATTTTGTTAGTTCTTTTGTTTCTTTCGAGGGTTTTAATCGAATGAAATGCTTTTGTTGTTATTGGTCTGTGTTCTTTGAATTCCATCTTGTTCTTTGGTCTCAGGTATTTTGCGTTTTAAGCAATTTCGTAAAGGATTCCTCTTTTACACTTCAAGCAATCTTTTCCATTTAACAGTCTTCTTTATAATCTCCGTTGCAATTTTTGGCGCCTAGGATTTCTGGGTTGCCCGGTTAGATGGTGAAGAAATTTAAGCTGTTCTATAATGTCGAAAACATCCTTTCTTGTTTCTTTTCGTCTCTTTTGTTGAAAACTTAGGTTGTGTAACATCCGTTTCTTGCTATTTTTGTTCAGTACATCGTTTCTAATTTCTGTCCTTGTTGCGAATTACTTAATCAAACTGATTGTTTCTTGCAACTTTTGTGGATTTTCTGATTGATAGTCTTAAGCTGTGTCTGATTTACTATTCTGTACTTTCTATAGGTGATGAGAAATTCCATATTATTTAATTGTTTCTTTGTCAGTGATAATTCACCGTCTTTTCTGCAATTCATGAGAAATCCCATAATGGAAGAATGTTATCCACTTCAATTCTTTAATATTATGCCAGCTTTTCTTTAATCATCTTTTCATTTATCTTATTAATTTGCAAGTTCCAACCCAACTGCAGTTGATAGATAGAGATCCGAACAGGGCCATTTCCCTGTTCTGGTATGCAATTAATGCTGGTGATCGTGTTGATAGTGCCTTGAAAGACATGGCAATTGTGATGAAACAGTTGAATAGAAGTGATGAGGCAATTGAAGCAATAAAGTCATTCCGTCATCTTTGCTCCGAACGAACTCAAGAATCTCTTGATAATGTACTTAACGACCTCTACAAGGTAAAACCTTATCTCTTGATAATGCAATTACTTGAAGTTAATAAGAATTCGCCAAGTTTTAGACACTGAACTTTATGCCAAGTTGTGTTCATCAACAGTGCATATTCCAGTTCTTGTTATTTTCTTCGTGATTCTAAGATATCATGTTAGTTAGCTGGACCAAGGGATGCAATTAGAGAAAAGAAGAAGCTTAATTTGTGAGGTTTTGGGAAGAGGTGGCATAAAAAATATGAAATCACACCAACAATTCGATGGTAAAGAATTTGAAGAATATGGTTTAACTATATAAATTAATTTTTTTATTTTTATTTCGACATTACGGTTGTTGTTTGCAGGAGCAAATGTGAGATAGAAAAGTTTTAAGGTTTTAATTTAGTAATTAATTTGGAAATTAATGTATTATGATATATATAAAACTGTAGATAAACAGGGATTTTGGGGTCTTGAAGGTCATGAATCATGATAGATCTGTCAATTTGGCAGTGTCAGTAGAAGGATGCTTTTGGACTAAAGATATAATTTGATGATATGAAAACTGTAAGGTCATTCATGTCTGCCATATTTTTTTTTATTTGATTTTCTTTTTTGAAATTTGGGACTGATAATCTTCATGTAATATAGAACACAGGATTTGTTATAAGTGTTCCCTCTCTGATCTATATGATAGATATAATTTCTCCATACTGGGGTCTAGTTCTTTTTCTTTGTTTTCCACAGACACGTCTTTAATGGTGTCTGCAGTTTCAGACTCCCAATAATACAAGTAGGTTCATACTTATAGTGGACTGGCACCAATGAATATTTAGTTTCTTCATATGGGAACAATTTCCTTTAATGGCAAAGTTTCTCTATGAGTTTGTTGTACATCTTTCTCTGTACACATATCTACGAAACACTTTAGACATCTCTGTATATTTGTGTTTGCAGAGGTGTGGCAGGTTTAGAGACCAAATTGAACTGCTTTGGCACAAGTTAAAGCTCATTGAAGATGGCATAGCATTTGGTGGAAAGAAAACCAAGATAGCAAGATCTCAAGGAAAGAAGTTCCATGTCACCATTGAACAAGAGAAATCAAGGTGAGCATACCTCCACTTCTCAGTGAAAAGAACCTGAATTTCCTCTCTTACATTCCTCTCACTTTCTCCTATTAAAACAGGTTGTTAGGGAACCTGGCCTGGGCTTACCTGCAAGAGAAAGATTACCAAACTGCAGAAGAACTTTATAGGTAAATCCTTACATAGACTTTTTTCTAGTTTCTCTACCAATCTAACTGAACTCAAGTGGTTCTGGTTATGGATTGATGATACTGCTTGTATTTGATTCAACAACTATTCTGAGAGCTATTGACATATCAGTACCATCAATTGTAAAAGAAGATATAGTTTTAACTCTGTAGTACACATAAAAGAGGGAATGGGGCAAATCTGAAAATGCTACAAATATTTCTTTGCCTGGATGCAGGAGAGCTCTTTCTATAGAACCAGATAAGAACAAGCAGTGCAACCTTTCCATCTGCTTGATGCATAGGGGAGAAATTACCAAAGCCAAGTCTCTCCTTCAGGCCATAGCACCCTCATCCGCAGATCGAGGACTGGCAGATCCTTACATTAAATCCTTTGATCGTGCTTCGGAGATACTTGCTGAGATCGAATCACAACCAACAACTGATGCAACTGAGCAAACCAAAGAGATAAAGGAGAGTTCGTTCACATCTCCCATTAACAAAATCTCAAGCTCACGGGCTTCATCTGTAAATGCAATTCAGAGTCATGGTTTTGGCTTCCCAATTCCTCGAAGGTTGGAAGACAGCAGCAACAAAGACCTGGTTCAGTTAGAAGCACAGAAGAGAGAATCAGTTTCTTCTGGGAACCATAAAAGTGAACTTTATTCTCAAAATCTGATTGATGAGGCTGATCCCTCTGGCTTTGACAACGGAAGATTGAATACTGAGATGAAAGCTGAAGAGTCCTCATGCAATACAAAAAAGGACTGTCAGTCTTCTCAGCAGCCTTTCTTTGCCAATAAATGGAGGAAAGGAGCTCATTCAGAGAAAATATATAGAACGTCTGATTACTTTACTTCACAGAAAGGCATTAGCGAGAGAAGAAGAGTTGAGGGAGGTTCTGCAACAAAGAACACCAAACATAATGGAAGCATATTTAGTTCCCAAGTCTCTATTGATGAAAATATAATGCATGGCTGGACAGAAAAAATAAGTGGTTCACATTCTTCCAGTGGTGGAGTAATGGCACCCCAACAACTTAAAGGAGGTCTACCAGTAGACGTTTGTGGGGGGCATTCCAAGATAACACCACCAAAAAGAGAAAGTGAACCATGTTCATCCGCCAATGGAGATTGGAGATGTAGATCAAGGGGGAATATTGTGAAGAAAAATCAGACGATAGATGGTATTTCATGGTATTCTAATGGAGATTCAAGAACAAGATCTCAGGAAGGCAATGAACAGAAGAAACTGGGAGTGGGAGAAATCACTAGTATCTCATGGTATTCTAATGGAGATTCAAGAACAAGATCTCAGGAAGGCAATGAACAGAAGAAACTGGGAGTGGGAGAAAGCACTAGTATCTCAAGTCCCAAAATACTTGGGGAATCACCAAGTATACTCGTTGGCAATTCACATGCTATGTCACAAGAAAAGCTTAATGGAGTAACTAGAGCTTGCATCAATGGAAACTGGGATCAGAGGTCTGAAATTACAGTCTCTGATAGCATGAGATGGTCAGATAAGATCGAGAACAAAAATGTTAGAATAAACATCCATGAAGCAGATAATATTCCAGTTTCCGTTACAGGAAATGCAAACCCAACGCAAGAGTACTCTGTCTTCAAGACTGGGAAGAGTTGGGCAGATATGGTTGATGAAGAAGAAGAAGAAGAGTTGTCAGCTGCCGGAACTGACTTTCTGATTGAGAAACAAGCGTACCTTTCCGGTGATTCATCAGTTTCTTTTCAGAATCCAAACAAATGGGCTGATGGATGGAACAATGATGAAAACCTTAATCTGAACATCACTGGCTCCACCCCTCCTCTTCCTACTGCCACACGTTCACAGTTGGGTTTTTATTCACAGAAACATCCATTTTCCCAGAACAACACTGAGATTTTCGAGTGGAAACTCGGAATGGTTGATCTAAACGAGGAAGAAAATGGAAGGCACATAAACAGTGCTTCATTTGGGAATTCAAAAGCTCGACGGTGTCTGTCTTTTGATCAGCAACCAAAGCTGGATCCAGTAGATTACTACTGCTGTTCCTCCACACCAATGGCAAGCAAGGCATTGGGTACTGAGGATTATAATTGCTCAACAACTGGGTCTACTTGCGGGAAGAATTTAAAGCCAATGGTGAGAACAGCTCGACGAAAAAGGCTTCAGGTATTCAGGGACATCACCCTTCTTCCAGATAGCCCAAGAGCTTATTATCCTACATGAGGCACATAAAAGTATCCATGATATATTTTGAGTTCTTCAATTTTTTTTGTTTTTTTTTATATTTGATTGGAGGTGTCTATAGTTTTACAGAATTAAGTTTGGGTGGGTGTCTATAGTCTATCTGAATCTTTAGTTGTGTGAATTTCTTTCTTTTTTCAGACATAGCTTATGGGTTGCACTTCCTCTCTCAAGTGGTGAAATACCATTGGGTTTACTATAAGGTTTACAGTGAACCCTCCGAAATCTAAGTAGTTCAAGGGGGGAGCCCTTAAAAGTTTTGGAGGGCCTGTTTGATAATAGCTGAAGCTTCAAAAACTTGGAGTTCATTTGGTTTCCAGGAATAGGTGCCTAGAATCAGAATTGGAATGGTCTTACTGTTTATTTGGCATAGGAATGGGAGTGGGATTAATGGCCATTCCAGGACACCCCCTACGGTATGGGATTTTCGTTCTAAAGTTTGTCAAAAAGTAAAGAACTCAAGATAAAAAATCCCCCAAGTCCTACTATTAATAAATCAATAATAACATAGATATTAATTAATTAATAATAAAATATTAGTAAAATACTTCTCAGATAATAATACTATAATAAAATATTAATAAATTAATAACAAAAAAATAAAGATATTGTTTATTTAATAATAATCATAAGAATAATTAAGAACAAATAAAATATTAGTACATTATAATTAAATTAATAATAAATTACTAAAATATTATTTATTAAATAAGAATAAATTAATTTTAAAATAATAAACAAAAATAATAGAATATTAATAAGCTAATAAGAAAATAATAACTTATGAATATTAAAGTTATAATAATATATTAACATATTAATAAAATATTTAAAAATTAATGATAAAGACTAAGATACTAATTATTAAATACTAATGAAATATCATAACAAAATCATAAAAATAAATAATATTATTTATTAAATAATAATAATAAATAAGTGGAAATAAAATATTAACATAATATAACTAAAGTAATAATAAAATACTAACATATAAATTATTTAATAATAATAAATTCATTTTAACATAATAAACAAAAATAATAGAAATTAATAAACTAATAAGAAAGATGCAAAGAGAAGACCTATAATCCATTTTGTGACGATTTATGGTCGTAGAAACTGGTAACATGCGCAGCCAAAGGTGCAAAGGAGAGAGTAATTTGGTGTGCGATTAAATAAAATTGCATAGGGAGACCTGCCTTTGAGAGTCAGAGAAGGAAGGTAGTTGATTAGAAAAACTGTAGTTTCCGCAACATCAGACCAAAAGTTCTAAGGGAGTGAGGAGGACACCAATAGGGTGAGGGTGAACTCTATCACGTAGCGATGCTTCCGTTCAACAGTCCCATTCTGCTCATGAGTGTGTGGACTGGCAAGCCAGTGTCCAATGCCTTGTGAGTCAAGATATTGTGAGAGCCGTTGATATTCCTCTCCTCAATCAAATTGAACAAATTTAATTTTTACAACAAGTAAATTCTCAACATGCCTCTTAAATTTAAGGAAATTTTCAAATGCATCAGATTTTTGACGAATGGGAAAAATCCAAGAAAAATTGGAAAAAGCATATACAAATAACACATAATATCTAAAACCATTATTGGACACAATTGGGCTGGTCCCCATGCATATGAATAAAGCAATTTTAAAGGACGACTATAAGAAGTTGATGAAGTAGAAAGGGGAAGATGATGACTCTTTCCTAGTTGGCATGCATTGCGAACTTGTAAGGTAAACAAACCACTGTACGGAAGACCGAATTGAGAAAGAACACGTTGAACAATTTTGATGGAGGCATGTCCAAGTCGATGGTGCCAGATTCGAACTGATGCCTTCTCTCCAACAAATGTAGTACTACCTAATGATGTAAAAGAATTGATGGTTGCTGAAGTAGAAAATTGATAGAGTCCACCTTTACTGGTTCCACCTTTACTTGGCAGTCTCTGGTGATGTGGCAACCTTTGATGATGTGGCATTATTATCCTCAATATTAAGTTTTCAACCATAATTGCATAGTTTAATTTTTGTTCCATACCTTGAACTTGTCCAATCTGTTTAGATGCAGGTTTTGGAGTAATAAAATGAACATGGGATAACAAGAAATTAGTTCCTTGGCTCCTTAATAGCTAACTTTATTGAATTGGAAAGGTTAAATTACTGCATAATTAACTGTTTAAAACGAGAATCGTGGTTGTTATTTCAAATACCTTGTGAGTTTATATTGTGGGTGATTGCTGTGAAACTTCAACATTTCTTTTCACTACTTGCTGGTTGAGAGGAACGGGGAATACCTCTGGTGTATCTGTCAGAACGGTCTTTAGTGTCAAATTTCTCGCCAAGCTCCAATGGAGGAAGAGGTGCAGGGTTCAAGGTTACACAAGGCAGGTCAAGAGATGAGAGATTATGAGTGGGATTTTTATTTTGGACTTTTAGTGAAATTTGAAGTTAACGGAATGAACTAACAGCCGTCCCGTTAAGGGGGGCATGCCTATGGGAGGATACGCAAACACAATGGGTTTCTATTGTGTGGGACGTTTTTGGGGTGCCAAGCGGTGGGGCGTAGATTCGAACTCTTCCTGTACTATATCAGTTTGTCACATATAATCCAATAATGTAAGAGTATAGGAAATTCATAGAAACACACCAAGGACACATAAAATAATAAAAGAAATTAATTATTATTCTTAATAAAGTGAAACCACATCTTTCTATCGAAGTGAGGACCTACAATGTCTAATAGTTAGATCACATTATAGAAACAAATTAAAAATACAAAAAAAAGTAAATGTAAAATAATAAATGTGATACAAAATTCAATGTCACATTACATTAATTTAAATTAGTCACTATTTCTTATGTTTGATGCATGTTTTGTTCTACAAGAGTTAGAAATTGATGAGACAACAACAACATCAACATCCAATAATTAATATGAGTCTTTCCTTCCCACTCTAGATCTCTTGGCTCGTAATTCCAGTTTCTCTATACTTGATGTATTTAGCCTATATCAACGTTAACGTCCGGCAAGGCGGCACTGTTATTCCCATCATCTGGAGGACTTATTGATATCCAAAGCAAAGAGACTGTAATTGTGACAAGACCAGACCAGACGTAAACAATGGTTGGCATCCTTCCTTTCCTTCCCATCAGCCCTTTTGCAAATGGGTACATGTGAGCCAACACCCAGAAGCTGAAGAAGACCCCACCAAACAGCTTATTCCATTGTGGGATAACACTGTAGATTGTCCTTGCGAATCCCATGACGATGGCTACAAGGTTAACCACCATGATTGTTAGAGGCATTATGAAGAGACTAGTCCATTTGACAACATAGAGGTCAGCATATATGTCATCATCGTCCTCGGCAGCAGACTTGGATGTTAATGTGAATGAGATATCAATGCCGGCAATGACCTTCAAGAGGCCCTGAAGGACGGCAGCCAGATGGGCACTGGTCCCGCCGATGAGCCAAAACTGTTCGTTGCGCCACCAGTCTTCAAGAGACACACCAGACCATTTGATCTCCAGGAGAGAGAGGAGGCAGAGGGTGATAGTGATGGAAAGGAGGTAAAGGAGGAAGCTTACATTGAGATTTTCAACAATGAAGTGTCCAGAGAAAAGGGAGAGAGCAGGAAGGAAACAGTAGACAACAAGGAAGATTGAGGTGAAAGGGTAAATACCGACGTTGAGGTAGGCAATGCGCTGTAGGAACTTGAGGCGTGGGCTAGCAAGGAAGGCATTGTTGCGAGAGAAGAAGATCTCGACAGACCCTGTGGCCCAGCGAAGGACCTGGTGTAGACGATCTGTGAGATTGATGGGGGCTGTGCCGCGGAAGGCATCACGCTTAGTGATGCAATAGATTGAACGCCATCCACGATTGTGCATGCGGTATCCAGTTACCACGTCCTCTGTAACCGACCCATAGATCCAACCTATTCTTTCCCCCCATTCTGTCTTGTCCTCATACCTGTATAGTATTATAGTGCAAAATTGGGATAGAGTCATTTTTCATTCAAGTTGAGACTTGGTTTGATAGAGGCTCCACTCATCAACATTATCAAGCTCAATACAAAATGAATTCATTAACAATGTTTATCAATCTCACTTAGGGATGGCTACTTCTACCGGTACCCACCTCTACCCGTCTTGAGATTTTACATGTTTTAATCAAATAATTAGAAATTTTGATATTTATTCATGTTATTTTACTTGTTTATAACTTATATATGGCACATTAGGGTCATGAAGGTTTTACTAGGGGTGCAAGTCAGGTGGGTTAGGCTGGGTTTGTGGTCAAACCTAGGCCCAACCCTAAAATTTTGGCTTAAGGCCCAAGCCCGAGGTCAAACCCGATCTTCTTAACCCAAGCCCAACCCGTACTGTAATTTGATTCACTCGGGTTGGATTTGGAATCAGGCTAGGCTCGGGTTGGTCAATAAAGCCACTCTAAAATTATATATGTATATATGCATTTATGTAAATATTTACAGATATATTTATGTATATATTTGGGTCGGATTAGAGCTACCTAAAGGCTTGGCCCGAGCCTAGCCCGAGGACTGAAAATCCAAGTCCAGCCCATGTAAAATTTTGGGTTGGATCGATTCGGGATCATGTTAGGCCCGGCCAAGTTGCAACCCTAGGTTTTACATTTCCGTAAAGGAAAATCCAACCCACTATAGATTTGGTGCACAATGAGGGTTGGGAGTTGAGCTATCAATAGGTCAGGTATGGGTCAGAACCAGCTTGAACCGGAATGAGCCCAACATGAAATGTTGAGGACCTGGATCCAGATTTGATAGGTTTGTAATTTTTTGACCCAAAACCGAACCAATCGGTTCTTTTGACAATCGGGTCCCCGATAGACCTGATTATAATAAATAAAAAATAAATATTTATATTTAATATATATTACATATATATTTCGAGACTAGGTGGAACAGATTCCGAACCAATAGTAATCGGGATCCTATATCAGGACTGAAAACTGATTCATCGGTTCCAATTCCCAGAACCAGAACTGGCCCAATCAGTTCAAGTCCGTCGGGTCAGACCAAACCCATTGACAGCCCTAATTGGAAGGACAAGGGAGCGAAGTAGGGCTTTAAATTTAGGGAAATTTGGAGTTGAATAGGGATTTTCATTAGGTTTTTGGGTTTTATTAATCAACAACTCCACCTATTTTGCCATCCCTAATCAGGAAAATGTAGTCTGACTAACTTCATCAAAATTTGTTTTCCTAACACCATTAAACACAGAAATACATGGAATGGAATCGTACCAGCAGGAGATGACCGCAATAGCTTCAGCAACTGTTTGGGCATCGAGCGGTGGGCGGGGAGCGAGTAGTGCGCCTGGAGGTCGGCCATTCTTTACGGACAAGTGATCGGCAAGCGGTCGTCCTTGGAACTCAGCCACAGCTATCGAGTCAGTGAACATACTCGAGTTCCCAAACTTCTTAGGCAAGTTCAAATCTGGATGTCCTGTGAGTAGGTGTGCGTCTGATTCTTCTTCCTCTGATTGGGTTGAAATATTAGCGGCTGGTTTCTTGTTCTGACCAAATAAGCCAGAGTATTCATTGGCTCGTGGAGGTTGGAAACCATACAAGGCATACCTTCGGAACAGGCATCCAGTGCCAACATATACGGGGCCCTGGAGGCCATCCAGAGCTCTCATATTGCCATCAAAGAAGATAGTGTTATGGTTGGCATAACGATCAGATGGATCAATTCCTTCGAACCGTTGTGGGAACTGAATGTAGCAAATGCGGTCTCCACCACGGTCCATCATGAAGCACATGCCCTCGCGAAGGGCAAGCGAGTTGTATATGTAGTGATCACAGTCGAGGTTCAGAATGAAAGGACCATTAGAGAGTATGGCTGAAGCTCGAACCAGGGCGTTCATGGCACCAGCCTTTTTGTTATGATCATAACCTGGGCGCTTCTCACGGGAGACATAGGCAAACATGGGTATGCGAATATCAACACCAGTGAAGTCCAACACTTTTTCATCTGGGTTTCCATACACTGGATCACTGTCAGGAACTTTGCTCATCACCTATCCATCCATGCATCATGTATGGGAAATTCAAGTATCTGTGAGCAGGCTTGTAATATTCTATCACTATAATTAGGTATAGTAAGTTCACTTGTCCATCTTCTTTTGTGTTTAATTTATTGGGGTAAATGTACCTTGTAAAATCATTTTTGACCATGGGTTTAGCTATGGTGCCGGAAAGATATGATACTCGAAAAACTTACAATCAATCAACCGATATCATAAAAGTAGAAATCAATCAGGTGGGTTTTCATCAAGATTCATAGAGGGTCGGTTGTGATCGGTCAAATAAAAGCCTTTCTCGTATGATGTCTTTTCGATATTATAGATTTTCCCTTTGATCATTTATTTCTTTTATTATTTACCCTTAAGCGATACATGAAAAATAGATTTTTTTGTGGGTCTCACATGTTTTTGAAATAAGAACATGGATAAATTGGGGGCCGTTTGGCATGTTTTTTTGAGAAGAACTTCTGGTAGCTCTAACAGTCAAAAGACGCATTGAGCATTTGCATTAAGTTATGAGCAGCCTAAAGCCCGTTTGGTTAAGGCGTGTCTTTTCATGCGTCTTTCAACACGAAGACAAATAGAACAAAAAAAAAAAAACGCAAAAGCTCCATTTTGAGTTTTCGAAAATCGCCCGTTTTGAGCTTCTTGCGTCTTTTCAGCACATTGGCTTTTGACAGTTAAATCTACCGCAAACCAAATGAGAAAAGACCGAATCATGGTCCGCCAGACTTATAAATAGCTGACAGACCATGCGAAAAGATGCACCAAACGGGGCCTGGGTCAATGGAACTTCAAAATTCAAAAAAACAAGGGCCGATGGAAAGGAAAGAAAGAAAGAAAGGAAAAAAAATGACATGATCGATTGAACTGAAGTATGAAGTAAAAGGCTTTTACCTGTAAAATCCCAGCATGGTCTCCCTTCTTGTGATCAGAACTAGGTTCATACCAGGTCCCGGGCCAATGTGTTCCATCGGCCATCCAAGTGGCCTTAGGGACGGTGATGGGTTCAGTAGGTGCAACACCACCATTCTTTTCCTTAGCCAACTTCCGCTCGTTGGCCTCTTCCTTTTTATTGTAGGCGCGGCAACGTTTCTTTATCACATCAGGTAGACCATTAATCCTGACCTTGAACTCATCATACTCCCTCTTAATCCAACGCCGGTCCTTAACAAAATCAGGTTTCTTCTTATTCTTAGTGGGGTCTGTCTTAATGGAGAAGTAACTATCAGGATTACGAGGCTCAATATTGTGCTTACGGCAGAAGGGTACCCACACCTCGGCAAAGTTGACAGCCTCAGCCATGGCTTCGAAAGTAAGGATGGCACCACCATCGTCTGAAATGTAACAAGAAAGCTTCTCAACTGGGTAATCTGCTGCTAAGATTGAGAGGATGGTGTTGGCTGTGACGAGAGGTGGTTCTTTCTCTGGATCGGCTGTGGAAACGAAAATATCGATCCCAGGTAGATCGGACTTGCCTTGTGGGTTTGAGTGTGAGGGTTGTTCGAACTTGTCACGAAGAGCAGCCAGGTCAGTGGCTCGATTGATGGGATTCAGCTTGGGCATTTGGTCCAGTATCCATGAGAAAGCGAACCATATTTCACACACTATAGACATGCCCCACAGCCACATCGCTTCTGGGTTAGGGTTTCTCACTCGCCACGTCAGAAATAGTAATAGTGCTATCAGACGGACTCCAACCAGAAGCCTGTTCATGCATGCAAGAATTTTTTTATGAAGGGCCAAAACCTAAATTGGATTGGGTGGGGGTGGGGGTGGGGG